TCACATGTGCTCCAGACAAAAAGCTACCAAAAATTCCCATGGCCCCTTGAACATCGAAATCATCGTGCAAGCAACCGATCACCCTCCATGCCGCTTCAGCCCTCATAATGGCGTCACTGGCAGCGTGTACATCCTCACTCTCCTGCCCGAGGCAGGATCGTTTCTCAAGCTGGTGCGACGGCTGAAACATGAAGAAGCACTCTGCGTCCTGAGTGAGTCCAACATTGCCCTGTCAAACTCACTTGCACTGTCGCTGAGGCAGCGCCCTGTGGCATCCACCTGCTGTACACTTTTTTAGCTTCGATGTGCTGGTACATCAGCACAGGATAATCCTCATCCACCGTACTCTGAATTTACGGGATAGTCTCCTGTGGGCCAAAACGCCATTTCCGTCAGCACCTAAGGCCCCACCAAGCCCTACACTGACAGCGACCTCCTCACCTCGACATGTTACATTTCTTGAATCAATGAAATCCTCTCCTTTATCTAGGACGGAGCAATCCTCTTCTCTAATCTGCCGGCAGTTCCCTAACGGCCTGTCAGCGCCCCTCGGCGCGGCGCACTTGCCTGGCGGGTGTTGTACGACTTCCACCCGCACCCACAGTCCGACGACTGGCCAAGACCGGCGACATGGGGCAGCCGGAGAAGGCCAAGCTCATCGCCGGGGCCAGCACCAATGGGGTGGTGCTGCAGGTGAGGAAGCCAGGTCGCGCAGACGTCGGCTGACCCACCGTGGCGCCCCATGGCCAAACGGCAAAGGGAAGGTGAACTCCACCTTGCCTGGTGCCCAGCCAAAGGCTTGAGGCTTTGGGCCGCTGTGGGCTGGTCGGGTGTGCAAGGGTGATGGTTCGTGGGGTGGAGATAGGGGAGATGGCGAGGGTGGCGCACTTGGCTGCCAGGTTGCTCTTGGTGGGTGCATTTTTCTGAGCGAAGTTTGCTGATGGGGTGGGGGGTCTGTCAGCGCTCCAAGTGCTTGGCATACGCTCGCAACTGGTCAATTGGCAAGCCCACATTCCCAGCCCAGCTGTTCCCAGGTCTCCTGACTCAAGCAGAGCTTTCGCTGACAGTGGCGTTGGCGGGTTGGGCGGAGATAGGACACCGGATTCCAAGGATTGCTTGATGCGGACAGATAAAAGGCAATCGTTAGATTCACAGACGTCAGCCTTTGGTGGGCCAGGCTTCACATGCAGCGCGCAACGATAACCGTACAAGTTTCCAGTAGTACGAAAGTGGCAATGCCAGGTTGGGAGTCATTTTTCTTTACCCTGTCCTTCTCGATGTGCATGCAAGGCTTTGAGAACTCGTTGAAAGTGTCACACTACAACGTGCCAGCCATGCCTGCTGAAACGCAAACGTTGTAATCCGGGACCAACGTTGCTGGCACTGTCTTTGAATCATGACACAGGTGGATGAAGCAAAAAGGATATGGGGTATTACACTCGTCGACTGGGGTGAGTGCGATGGACAAGGGGCCCGTCACCCAGCAACAATTTTCGTTTTTGTCTTGCCTCGCCTCCTTCCCATATTGACTTGGCAGGAAACATGGCCAGCACACTAGCGCAACAGCTCGCTCCGTTCATGTACCTCTCCGAAGCCATGCAAGCTTTCCTCAACCAGACGCACATTGAGCCTGACGGCGCAGTTTGATTTTCAGGGAAAGTGTTTGGCTGTCTCATCACATTGTACCTCTTCCTCGGGCTACTCTATGGCGCCCTTCTCAGCATTGCTGTCGATGTGCGACAGGAGGAGTGGCTAGGTGAGTCTTTCATGCACTGTAAGAAAGCGCACCTATACAATTTGCTGCTGAAACTTTCCCCCCACCGTGAGATTGGAGCGCACGCGCTGCTGCCGTTTTTGGATCCACAAACCCAACAGCGTTGATAATGTTCTGTAGCCGCTGAAATTCAATTGCCTCCTCCCACCTTCTCAGAAGCTGGAGTCTGATTCCACGCATGCGGATCACATCAAAAACATGCCGAGCTTCGTCTTCGTTATGTACTTTGCGAGGGCAGCAATAGATGCTGGACGCTCGCTCCTTTACACCTGGACAACAGAGTTGTTGCTGGTGCAATTTCTGCATTATTAATCGTTGATCAATATTTTTGAAGTATTGACAAATGCCCATTTAGAAATCGCTGACGTCCACCGTGCGTATTTGACAAAGCCATTTGCGAATGCAGTGCAAATAAAAGCAAGACACCAACGCACTGAGACCACTCACACAGACAAATGTTCCAATTACGGTGATCAATTGGCAGCCCTGACGCGAGCAATATCAAGCTATCCTGGTGTCCTCCAGCGCATTCTTGTTATTCTAATGCGGTTTATCTCTCTGAATCCCAGTGCATCATTCATTTCATGCGTGGTGTGACTTTTTGTCTCAGAACTACCGAAAAAGCATTTTGGCCCTTTCGAGAAGGTGGAGAGGGCGCTCATCGACGCCGTTACTCGACAACCTCTGCTGAGAAAGGAGCTGAATGACGACTTCCTTGCGAATCTGGAGCAAGAAGCTTCAGGAGATTTCAGTTTTCGAAAATTCAACAGGCCCAGGGGCTGCAAAGATGCTACGGTAATATTTTACGACGGCAAGACAGTAAAGGAATGGAACCTTTTTTACCTCAATTAAAATATTTCTATTCGTGAGCTCAGGTCTGTTTGCGCTAGTTCAGCAACCGAAGGACTGAACAGCGGCACAAAACATAAAAATATTATCCACAAGATAGACACCGGCAATTCCGAAATAATGCATTAGGAATCGGCGCAAATGACAGCAGATCCAGAGTTGTGGATGACATTGAATCGCCCTCCTTAGGGGGTGAATTTCACGATCTGGTATGATGTATCTTGCGGTACGAGTAAAATTTGGACAGGGCAATAAGGCACACTTGTTCGTTTGATCCAGCTGAGGCTCAAGAGGCACGAGCGCTCCAAAGTCTGCTAATAGCCGTGGGCACGAAGCCAACGCGTTGCAGCCCAGTTCAATTTCAAGTAAACAGTTTCCACCAAGTACGCTGCATGCTTTGCGCAAACATCAGCTACATACGGAAATGCTTTACTTTGATGCAGCAACGACACCAGCACAGATGCCTTAATAATAAGAGATGAACGGTTGTAGAGTAGTAATCTTCCATGGCAGCTCAGGCGCCCACAACGTACCTCACATCCTGGATTTCCCAATTCTACAGGTCAATGGAAACAACGCGTTGGTGTGCGACGTGGAACACGACGAGTCCGACAATCGCTGGACGATCTACCCTTGGATCGCCGACAAAGGTTTCGATGCTGCCGACCCAAATGTGCTCATGCCGCTCTGCGAATTCGTCTCAGGAGACACCGCCAAGTTCACAACCATCCTGGATGAGAACGGGACTTATTCTCTGACAGCCTGTTTCAACGGGATCATAAACAGCAGGATTCCTACGTGATGGATCAATGCGCAGTGGAGAGTGTTGGGGCGAATCAGCTTGGCTTGCCGGCCGCTGGTCGATGAGAGTGCAGGTCTCAAAAGGCGTGGTCCAATTGGGGAATGTAAAACATCCCATTAGTCACTTAGTCCTGGTACGTCAGGGCGGACTCGTGACTAGCCCTGGAATGTAAAAATGGTGAGCCGCACTGACCGAGTTGTGTTTAATGCCATGTTAAATTGCGTTAAAGGACACCTGACAGGAACCGGTCTGCTCACAATACGGATGCGTGCAACTGAGAGGAAGAAAGTTGTGAGGCTTCCACGGGAATATGGTGAGAAGACTCGTGACTGATGGTCGCGGGAACGCCGCCATCCGCTCAATCGGCGCCTCAAAGCCTGTCGCTCAATCAAATCCCATATTCCTGCTCCAAGACCATCGTGCGCCTGCCCATTCGGGTTGATGAGCCACGGTATGACTTCCTACAGTGCCATTCAAGGCATTGACCACTTTTCTGCGGCTTCCTGACAGTTCCTGCGAAGCAGCGCCACCTGTTCTTTGGTCAACGGATGCCCACCGTGACCTCTCTATTTGGTGTCCCAATTCACTTTGACTGGCGCTGATGGGCGCACGGTCTTAGCGCATTTGCGAGGAGGATATTGCATGCCAGGCTCTTCTATTTTTGGGTCGCACCCTCTTTGGGTTCTGTTCATTACATGAACAAAGTGATGTGAGAGTATTCGCAACCATTGGACTTGGTATGAAGTTACGGGTTGTATTCTGTGAGTTTGTAACGCCTCCCCACAACAACGCATCCCCTTTCCAGGCTTGTTTCGCTTACAACTCCTTGTGGGAAAGGAGGGCGGGATCCAGAATTGCATGGAGTGGTTTCGCAGGATGTGGTGCTGGCCCAGAGATGTGCAACGGGAACCGCACTCCTGGTCGTGCTTTCGATTGAGGTTTCGGGAGCTTTTCGCACGGAATGTATGCATGCGACATGTCCAGACCAATTTGCATATGAGTCCCTGGCACAAGATTCAAACTTCGAGCGGATTTGCAGAACCCAACTCTAGGTTTACAATCCGACACAGTTAGTGCGCAGCTGACCTGGGCTGGCGGCACTACGATGCAACGATCACTCTCACGCTTCGGAATTCGTACATGATCCCCCCTTTCTCAGCGATGGGCGATGGTTTACCCAGCTACATAGGATATGATCGTGGGTAGCGTTCTTCCTCTCCACACTTGATCCAGAGCCAGCACCCTGTCTGGACACACAGATTTAGTGGCGACCAGTCCCTTGTTACACTCGGATCCAACCTCACAATTTCTCAGTTCAAGTTTGCTACTGGTTGCTGTTGGGGCGCTAGACACCGGATGTGCTAGGCGAAAAGTGGGGAGGGGGTCACTTTGGAGACAGATAGCAACAGCCCCCTCTATATTTATAGACCGGTCAGCTATTCCACAGCCTTCCAGAACTTTCCAAGATCCTTCCTTATCACCCAAATGCTCCCTAAGCTGTCATGTTACCCCTACGTTAGTATTGATTCTTCCCGAACCTTCAAGACGCCCAGAACCCTATAGACTCGCATTACGCTATGAGCATGACTGCCCCGCAACCTTCATGATCATATCAGTGCCCTCTTGATTCGATTCCATGGGCTCCTGTCCAATTGCACGCACGCCATACGTCCCGCCGCCTGCAATTCGCCTGAGCCAATTCCATGCACAGGCGAAGTAGGCTGCTGCCATGCAAGCAGCACGACGCGGCCCATGCGCTTCCACCATCGTCATCGTCGCCACCGAGACTTGGCAACAATGCTTTCGCACCCATGTTCGAGCGCACTGCTGCAGGTCGCCACTGCCGGATATACGGCTCCGAGGCACTCGGCGACTCAGCGCCCAACGTTGCCGTACGACATGCAAGGTTACCATGATACACGATGGTGCATGGCAACCTTGGACACGCACCCCACGGTACCATCGGATTTGCCTTTTCTGCATGGAAATCTTCAAAACGATCTGTGCTGTGAGCCCATGGTGCATGCGTAGAACGTGCTTTGTAACACTTACCACCGGAGATGCGCCCACATCCACGCGTGCGAGCACATTTGCACACAAGGTATTCCGCCACAGCGACTCATGCATCTGGGGCTGGTAGATGCCGCGAGCACTCCAGTGGCCCTTGCGTTGCGGCTGGGGCTGCTCCACAGACGGCACCGTTACGTTTCTATTATTGCTCCACATAAAAGGGCAAACGTTTTGTCATTTGCGCTACGTTAATATGCGGGAGGATTGAATACTTCGCAGTACTGCTCGGGTGCTTCCCTGCGTTCCAGAGGAGAGACCGAACGCATCACAGATAAATCAACCAGTTATTACAAACAAAAGCATGACAAACCGGGCAGTCACCAGCTCCTTGGAACGCCCAGGAATGCACACGCGCTCCATTTCACCCAGCGCCTCCCTTGCCGTATTGGCTCCTTGCGTCAAATTCTGAGGCGGGGTACTTCAGCCAGGAGCCATTGCCCACGAACTCCAGGACGTGCGTGTGGTACTTGACGAGCTGCGGCCGGTGGCCCACCGATACGTATGATCCCACGGCAACGTTCAGCGCCTCGTACAAGGCAGCCTCCGTATTGATGTCCAGGGCGCTGGTCGCCTCATCCAGGAACGCCAAGCTGGCCCTGTGCAGCAACAGTCGCAGAAACGCCACCCTCTGCTGCTCTCCCAGACTCAACACCTGTCACAGTCAGCATCAAGACAATCAACGACAGGGAGGGCGCAAGGCACCATCACAATCAATGCGCGTTGTTCATGCGAGTGTCACAAAAGCTGTCGCACTGAAGGGGGGATGAAGGGGACCATTGTATCTTACAATTATTCTGCTTCCTAAGCCATTCTCGCACATTGTTCTCAACAGAGTTGCGTTATTGCGATGCGCTTTTTTAGGTAAACACTGCTAATCTACATGTTGCACTGTTCGCACGATGAAACCGAGAGATGGTGGCTCTGGGCTGCACTTTGCTAAGGCATTGCTGGCACAGGGGGCGACAAATCGGGAGACAGAACAGGCAACGTACCGTCTTGATTGTAGCATTGCCCGCACTACAAGTGACAGCCGAGGCAGCACTGGTACAATATGCCAGATAAGGGAGGGGCAGAGCGGCACCACGAACACATGCATCGACAGGCAGCTACTAGCGCTAAACATGAAATGACCAGGAGCCAAATTGAGAGATGGGCCAGGGGAATCGCATGATGCCTACTATTAGATTGCAGCCTAGTGCGCTGATAACACATGCAGGGTCAAGGCACAGCCAATCAGTTTGTTGATGTTGGCCATGTTGAGCCCCCACCTGCGACCAATCCATCTCCACATCGAGGCCCCCGACGCGATCAGCCAGCCCTGGCAGCCGCACAGTCCTCAGCAATGCCAGCAGCTTGGCATCTGAGAGGTTGGCTTCATCATGCCCAGAACCCCAGGCAGAGGTGGGGAAGAGCAGCTGGTCGCGAAGGGTGCCCAGGGGCATGTAAGGCTTCTGTGGAAGGAAGAACATGCTGGAGACATCAGGTGTGCGGATGGTACCCTTGCCGCGTGACCACAGTCCAGATATTGCACGCAACAGACTCGACTTGCCACACCCAGTGGGGCCGACGATCAGGAGTTTCTCACCTGCTGAAAAGAAGATGGAATCGTCTCAGAACCGCGCTCCCAGAGTTTGTCAGACCTAAGGGGGAATGATGGTCGAAACTGCAATCGACATCTGGTGGTCAACACAGCAGCATGAACGACAACGATCAGGGGCGCATTCCAAACGTGATTGCTGTTGCCACTGCAGCAAAATGAAAAGGGGGATGCATACCATGACTGCAGTCACCAGATAGCGGTGATTAGGGTGTTTGGTGGTGAACAGGGCACTCAAAGCAATCACTCAAACATTTGTGAGTACAAACAAAGCCCCACAGCGCCTCACAGATCCAAGCACAGTGCTTTCCATGTTATACATTTTACATCTTCGGAAATTGATGTCAATGAAAACTTCACAACTGAACTTGGCACGTCTGAGCCCAATGGCAACACAGCTGTACGTGAATGACGTCACCCTGAAGAAGTGTGACGTCTTGGTTGTCACAAATGTACTGCTTGTCCCCAGGAGTGCTGAATGTAAGGCCTTCCAGTTGGAGGACGACAGGCGACTGGCTCTCCAGATGCACGATGTGTTGACCTTGCCTGCCTGCAGCATTTGCATCACCCTCCCTCTCGATGTCTTCTAAGACATCCATCATCACTGCCAAGCGCTCTGTCTGGGCAGCCAGGCCACTGATTTCCTGCAGAGGAAGGCAAACACTTTCATATTTTCTGTGCTACTGGTGCGTGTCCTGTTGTGGATTTCCATTGAGGTATCCTGCACGTCTGCATGCAATGAGAGTGTAAGCAGAACTGCAGGCGCTACAGACAGATCTGCCATTTGGCCAAAAGACGGACACAGTCACAAGGAAACAGGACAAAGCGTGATTGTGTCTTGCCCATCAAGGCAAATCGTGCCCATTATGCCACCATTCATGTCACAAGCGATGCGACAGACATATCAGCAGCAAGCATAACCCAACATCAGCTGAAGGGAAACTGACAGACTGAGTTGCTCCCATTCGATGCGCTCCAGACAATGGGGTTTGAAGGCACTGGAGGAGACTGTTTGAAACTGGTATTGTTTGACAGCATCAAACATTCATTGAGCTTTTGATGACACTGTATTTGCACAATACCTGTTGAGCTGCTGACAACAATTGAAAGGTGAATGTCATTAGGAATGCCAGCAATAAACCCGGCCAGCAACATTTGCCAAACACCACCTGAAAGGTTCAGCACCAGTGATTTGTCAACTCTTAACAAAATGCACATCAAAACACCGGCTCAACACTGTTGCTCTATTCTATCCATCGCCCCAAGGATGGTCAGGTGTGACAATACGCACTCAAATGTTCCAATTCTGGGGTGCAGACCATTCACAATGGCACAGAAACGGAACGCCAAGAGCATACACACTGTTAATGTCACAAACAGCTCCACAGGAGTAAATTGCAAATCAAGTATGTTCATCAGTGGACAAGGAACCATTGTCCCAGCCCAATCTGGGTGCTGCTGAGCACTCAATTCACAGGTAACCTTATGTTCAATCAATGCTTTGAACAAACATGACAATGTAATTCAACTAGTGATATTCAGGGCCAGCAGCCTGGTCGGATTCAGGAACTTTGGCAGCTTTATATGCATATTCGAAGCAATCCTGTCAATTTGATGAATGTGATCATCTGAATGTCAATCCTTCAGTTCTCAGGGATTGAAGCAGCTGATAGCCATGCCAATGCCAGCTCCTTAACCTGGTTACCTGGAAATTTGCCACAATCGCCCCCAAGGCAGCTTCTATCCTGCCAAAGGCATACGATGCCTGGCTGATGACACCAAATTCAATCATTCCCGCAAAGTACAGCGGTGCAGTGAACAGGCTGGGCACCAAGATGGTTGAGTAGCTGTATACATTGCTCCAGAGTCCAAGCCCTGTTGGGAAACACGCAATTGTCGTTGGCCCCAAGATGATAGAACAGCTGTGATCAACTGACACCATCGACCTTCAATGAAACAGCAAACACCACTGGTGGCCTGCTAATGATTGCCAACATGGAAAATACGACAGATGGGCTCCTCTGCACCTGCACAGTACTTGCAACCCTTTTCCCCACTGTAAAAGGCACTCCAGACAGTTGCCCAGGGCAAGCCCAAGTAGCACGAGACTTGGCGCACTGTGGAAAACAAGAGCCCAGACTGTTTGTGAGACGATGGGATTTGCTGCAACCATACACTCCATAACATGAGAAGGGCCACCCATGCATAATGGCCGCTGGTGGGAGGAAGTGATGCAAGATCCTGCCAAAACAGCCCCACACATTCAGGTGGCTAGATCGTGGAAGGGCTGGCAGGAACAAGACACGAATGTTCAAGCGACTCACGTCCAAAATCAAGACATGCAAGAAATGCCCCATTTGCACATGGCCATTCCCTTCTGATGAAGCTTGGCACAAGTTGTTGGCTCAATTTGAGGCCATCACTTGCCCTATTGTGCAAGAGCAAGGGCAATCAAGTGACGATCACTGAATTGAGCGCCACCAGACCTTCAGTTCACACCTGCGGCCCAGTTTATTTTGCTGATCTTGGTGAAGACGACCTTGTCAAAGCGATCAGACACGATCGACTTCTCACGCCCCTCCCCCTTGTAGAAGGCAATCGACTCATTATTTTCTCTCACCCTCACAAGGCTGAAGCGCAAGTCGCCCTCCTTCTGCAGTAGCCTGAAATTGAGTGACATCAGTGGCTTCCCGAACACCCATGTCGTGAACCATGTTCCAGCACCAGCATAAAGGAAAAGGTACACAACCAACGATGGTGAGATGCTCCACAGCACTCCTGCTCACACACAGCCACCACAGAGCAACATCAGTACAAGCTTGACCTGAAACAACACCATGATGCTGCTTTTGAAATGTGGGTGGCTGCCAGCTCCAGGAGTTTCAAACAGCGTTTTTGTCCATACTGAATTGCCACAGGGACTTTCGGCATCTGTTTCCTTGCTGTTCCTACAGCTTAACCTGTTGCGCCCCTGCTGCATTCAATCCCATCTGTGTAGCATCGAAAGCAGTCTCAAACACCTTGCTTGAGAGGTTGGGGACAATGCCATGCTTTGTTCTTTCTGTATGTACCATTTCTGCCAAGGTCAATGTTTTGATGCAAAATTACCATGCTCAACTGGCAATACCCTGCAAGAAACTACTTCTAAGTATTTATGAGAACAACTGCGTATGCGATACAACCATGCACAAGCACAGTGCACCAAAAATTTTATACTGCCAGCAACTGAAACCTCTCAATGCCTAGCTGGTGAACAGGCAGCGGCATACCCATTCTTGATCAGTGCAAACAACTCGACATTGACCAGCAATGCAAGGGTTACAATCACCCAGTCTACCTAACACCATTCTCCAAGCTCACTTTGCACACCCTGCAATGGCCTGACTGTGGAGACTTTGACAAAGAACCTTCCGTTTCCACTTCTATGGAAATAGCGTGCCAGGTGCTGAAGAAAAACACAACGAGACATGCTGCTGAGGACTCTGTCCCAACGACCAAAGTGGTCTTGCTGCTCACCAGGGGTTCGATGTGCTGAAATGCATGGAACCACAACTGTTTGGTCTTAGGTGGTCTAAAACCTGCCTTAGTGAGAGCCAAGCCCTATGGCATTTGCTTGGTCTATGCCACATCAACAATCGTATTATCTGAGGCAATGCACAGAGCTCCACAACATTCCAACACCAAGCAGAGACAGTCAACCCTCGAACATTATGAAACACCACAAATTGACTACTGGATGCCATGCCTGTTCGTCTGGGCCTCACCTGCAAATGCGACACAGCTCATGATTTTCCTCAAAACTTCTGTTGCCAGCATGACAGAGCTCGCCACAAATGATGCAATATCGTCACAGATACGCTGGTCAGGATTGTCCACCACCACTCCATACTGGTTCAGGGTGAAGAATGCCCTGTGAGGCACACAAGGATCAGTTTGCTGGATCAACCCACCAGAGCCTCTGCCACAGCACAAGCACCCAGGAGGCTGTCAGAAAGCACAGCAGTTCATATGTTGGCCAACCTTCTCAAGAGCAAGAATTCCTATGAGATTTCTATCCATGTTTATTAGATGATGAAGCTGTCTCCCAGTGCAACAGAAATAACACTCAACCCAGTGGAGCATGAGTGGCAATTAAAAGTCAGGACATGCCTGAGCTTTGAAGTTACTGTATTGCAACGCACCCAGGCACAAGCATCACACCATCACAAACAGCTGTGAGAGATTGAATCTTGGGAGGCAAGTGCAGGGCTGGCAATTCCACAATAAACACCAACTACATTTACCTGTTTGCAAAGTAACCTCTGACCATTTTCTTGACAAGAAATATCCTCCAAGCCAATGCAAGGCGGCCTTCCACAAAATTGACAAAGGCAAACAGTGGGGCAGCGATGGCGATGATAAGTACGAACATCCACACTGCCTGGTAGAACTCCGCTGGGGACAGCACACACTGTCTTCACATTTGTTGAGGTCAGAGGAAATATGCCCAAATGGATTCAACATATATATAGAGGGTGGCGAAACGAAAATTGAGTCCACAAAGAAATTCCCGCGTGGGGTGCAATGTTGTGCCAGTTTGCATTTGTCACAAACTTTGGTGTACATACATGAATGGTCAGGAACTGCGGGGACAAAAGGCAAACACAGAAAAATGCAGGTAAAAGCCGGAAGTTGAGGATTGGGAAGTGGAAGTAAGTCCTTGTCTCCACATTAATCTAAATTCTGCACAACTGTTGCCCATGCAACCAATGCTGCCATTTGGGGCAACTCTTTGGTGACCACGAGGCTTGTCACACTGCTGTTAATGTGTTCAAGCAACTCTGGAGACTCTTCGCAGTGGGCAGACAATGTTATCAAGGGCAAATGTCATCAAGGGGCATAGTGCACAACATGTTTCCTGTGGACAACTGCTGAAGAACATTGCCCCTTCATTAGGCCCATGGACTGCCATGCAGACTGGGGAACAGACCACAATCACCACAATCATGAGGCCCCGTTGTGTGGACTTGCTCATACTCTTGGGATTGGGTATATATTTGGATTGCAGATTGTACCCATACTAGTTGGTGATGATACAAAGTCGTGGTTGGTGTTGAAAATCCATGTTGTAAGATGAAGAAAACACAGCAGCTACCAGTCTCTTGCCAGCAACCTGGCAGCGTGTCAAAGCAGCAACCTGTTTTATGTTGAGATTCCATTGTGGACAGGGCGTTGCAGCAATGCTGAGCTGGACACTCACCCACGCGTTTTTCAGACATTGCAGTGCTGAAGTTCCTCTGTGCATAGGAAATGGTGACAAGCAGCCAGGTGTACAGCAAGGAGAGGACGACTGCAGCAATGAGGTACCCCCTCGCCAATAGTTTGTCGTCCCCTGGGCATACAAAAGAAGAGTAAGCAGGCAGAAGCAGCAGAGCAAAAATGATAATCCTGTAGCAAAAATGCACTCACCCGACCCCTAGTCCTGAGCCAGGATTCCTGATGCTACAGAGGGCATTGATATTTGTTCATTGGTGTCTTCCGCCCACCTCGTTGACAGCATTTGCAGTCAAAGGCATCGGTTCATTTTGGTCCACATTGATCCACATAATTTGTTGAGCCAGATCGACACCAGTGCGTTCTGCAAGTTACATCTTTTGCGTCACCTTTTTGTGTCTCGTCGATTGACTGATGTTTATTCTGGCCCTGGATGGGCAGATATCCAGGGAGACACGGCCATACTCCACCAAAATTGCCATGCAAGGGCAGAAAGCGAAGCACCACCGGACCAAACAATGTTGTGGATTTACGGCTGTAACGTACTCGCCTCCGGTTTTTAGAGCGTGCAGCGCCGTGTCTATTGGTAAGGGGGCACCAGTGAGACCTAGAGCGCATATATGTGCATCAATTTAGTGATGCTTTAGCAGCACTTGGACGCAGAGCACGGCGATTTTCGCGACAGCGGTCATTGCGCCTTTCCTGCAATTAACTTGTCTTGAACCTTGCCCCTCACTGTTCCCCATAACTGTCTGACTGTCGCTTTTGCGTTCCCACAAGCCACAAGTTCCAGGTTGGGCATGCCTGCGGGGTTGGTACCCAGTTGATGTGCCGATCCGCACTCGTGATCAGCACCTCGGCAGAGCGAACGCTGGCAGAATCGACGGCTGGTTGGCCATCGATACACGACCTGTGCATCACATTGTTGCTCACCGTAGAACCACAGCTTCGCGACTTTCCACCACTTCGGGAGGATGGCGGCAAACGTCTGGGGCGTCGGGCTGGGCCCCTCCCACTCCCCCATGGCTTCGGTGGGCGCCGTGACCGGCAGCAGGGTCCGTCGAGCTGCGTCGCCCTCTCCCATCCCGCCTCCTGCAAGAGCTATGGGCCCAAAAGTCCCAGCGCTGCTGGCGCTGTTGGTGTTGTGCCCCACAAGAGGGCGCGCAGTGCGCGTCCAACGAAAGTCACACCGGTTTCGGGGTCCAGTTAAGGATTCGGCATTACTCACCAACAATACTCACCAAACTACTGGCTGCAGCGAGGTCTGTTGCAACTGCACATTGGCAGCTGTACAGGGGCCAACTATATGGGCATTGATAAAGGAAACGCACCATCATGCGTAGCATGATGGGCATGTCCTCTTCGAAGTAAGCCAGAGAAGCTGCAATATCTAGGCGATTGGCGGGGTCGCCATCCCGCGCGCCGGCGCTCACATGGCCAGGCGACACGGAGTCCAAGGCTTGGTTCACAGCACAGGTTGCTGCGCCCCCAACAGGCTGGGGTGCGCTTAAAATGATCAGCCACGTTCATGCCAATTTCCATTATCTGATACAATGTCCCATTTTCGACCTCTAAGGATTGTCATAATCACAAATGCCCATAAGACAATTCAACCCCCATGCCACCTCATCACTACGATGCAGCCCACATCTGAAACATGCCACAACTTCCCTTTCACTCAGAATTCAAAACAACATGATTCTGACTACTCAAGTGCCACATATGGTCATTTCCAAGCGCCCCCACTGCAATGTGCAAATACAACAAATCTTGCAAGCCAGAGTGAAAGTAGAGGGCGGTCATAATGCTGTAAAGCTTTGGGAAACACACATTCGAAACTTCCCCACAACACACCCTTGCATCTTGCGGACAAGACACTATGACCAAGGCATCTCTATGTGAATTGCAGGACATTCTTTCATCAAGCTCATGTTGTCCGCAACAAACATGAGTGTGATTAAAAACTACCTCAAAAGCCAAATTCCAAATCAGGATTCAATCACAGAAATAGCTTTCAGATAACATGTTTAAAAATTGCCAATCTTCAAGCAAAGGAGTATGCATAGGCTAGCAGCACAATGCCACACAGGGAAATGCAACATCCTGTGTGTGCCCACCAAGGAAAACGACATCTTGGTGGGAGTAACCTTTGCAAGTTTCATAACAATATTTTCTGCAACACCATTTTTTTTCTTTCAATCTCAAGTAGCGATTCACGCTTTGACATGCCCACTAGTCACAAGCCATCAAGCAGAAGTGATCCACCCAGTGAAACGGTGGTCATTATGCGGCGTCGCGAACAGCATACAATTAATGGTTGCACCAAATCGGTGACTTTTTGCACTAAATCGGTGACTGCTTGCACAACTCCTCCAAAACTTACCTAACCTAAACCCTAAACCCTAACCCTAAAACTAACCTCTAAAACTTGGGTTAGGACATAGTTTGCACGTGATTTGGTGCTAGCAATAATATTATTTCAACTATATTGTGTCTCACAACTGAATCCAACACAATATTTACAAATATACAACACAAATATATGTAGGTGTCTCCTTCTGGATGTCCGCTGTCCACGTTTCCGCCAGGCAATGTGGTGGCGCTGTCGGCATTGTCCGAATTCTAAGTGAGCTGGGCTTCTGGAACGCACGTGGTGACTCGTGAGGTGACGCCATTCCCTCCCCTCGCAGCGGCGGTGCTGCAATGGTGAGCCTGGGCTCCTGCCCAGCAGTTGTCGCGACTTGCGATCGTTTCCGAACTGATTTTGCGCTTTTTGCGGGGGCACCAACGGTTTGCCACATGGAAGCAACAGTCCCACGCATGGACTCCACGGTGCTTGTTGACCACCGACCGTTGATCGGCCTCACCGATGCAACTCGGCGGCCTCGCGTGCCCAAACATAGCCGTCCACCGTTGGCGTGTTCCGGACAACTGCTTGGTTGGAGATTCGGCGTGACGCAGGAGAGTCTCCATGCAACGGGCAGACTCCTTACCAAGTTGCTGTGAGACGCTCTTCCAGGCTCTGAAAGATGGTGTCAAAGGCACCAAGTACCACAGGAAAGGAGGATACACAGATGAGCACGTTGAGCATTGCTTGGTCCCCCAGCCCCCCAGGCGAGTGCTTGAGCCGGTGGCAATCAGGTGCGGATATCTGCCCTGGCCATTGGAAGTAATAGAGGTATATACAGAGGCTCAGAAGGGACCAACAAAGGCGCCTGACCAGCATGCTCGAAAAGATCACCAGGCAATGGCAGCGAGCTTGAGAGCTTTTGGGCTCCCTAATAGTCACAACTTCTACCTAGCAAAAATACGAAAGTGGCAAAAGTTATGTCTGGACTCCCTTTAAAGTATCCAACACATGGAGCCCTGGACTCTGAAAACCTTGAATCTTGCACAAAATGCAAGCCAACATGCAACACAACACCAAGAGGCCCTGCCTGAATGAAATGATCCCAGGCACAGGTGCGACTCAAGTGTGGGACATGTGTGTGCAATGGCAGCACGTCCACCTGGCACCACAGCCGTAGGAGCTGCGGGATCCAGAATGCATCATTATGCAGCCAACGATATCATTCCGCCAGTCCGCCCCTAAGCTATGCAGGAGATAAGAGTTCTTGTCAAGCAACAATGTCAAAACTTTACAACATTGCAACTGCCAACACCCACAAACCCAACAACAGTGGCACTGGCAAATGAAAGCCCATCCTTGCATGTGTCAGCGGAATGCACATCCAAGATCAAAATGCCCTGATCGCGCCTTTTCTGCACAAACTCCATCCCAAGGCAACTTGCACAACCCCTAGGTTGCTGTCGCAAACATCACATGCCACAAGTTAGTTATTCTTGTTGACTAGAACTATAGAGCTAAAGCACACACCACTCCCCTCATAAGGTAAAGGTCCAAAGCCCAACCCCCCAAATCTGCTCCTTGCACCACACACCAGTAGCAGGGCACTCCAAACAAATGGGCACAACAGGCACCAGTCATGTGCCAAGGCACATTTCAGCCTCCCCTACTCAACACCGTCATCGTCAAATGGCGAGTCCACGGCAATCACTATGACAAGAATGGCAGGCACGATCACAGTGATCGTGATTATGATGAAGGTCACCAAGCTGACCCAGCCCGCCATTTTTTCGCCCTCCTTCTTTGAGCATATCCCAAATGCCCCACCAATCCAGATGGGCGGCAGCAGGAGCACCCACCCCAGGACGTACAACAGCCAGTACACGTTCCAGCACTTTTCAGGTTGTGTTTGATGAACAATGGGTTGGTGCTGGACAACAAGGAAAAAAGAGCGTCAAGCAACTGCACCACAGCCAACTGAAAGCAGGGCAACACTGTTCTGTCCGCTATTCACACTAGACACAAAGCAACACTGACGATGGTTCACATAATGCACATACACCATGATTGATTTTATGCTAAGCTAGCTGCACAAGCCTTCAATCCGAAAGCAGACGGAAGTTGGAGATATCGTTTCCAAGATGGAAGGAATTCACCTTAATCTCTTTTTTCAGCCACTGTTTGTGCTTTCATCAAGTGTGGCAAGCAATGACGCCAATGGAAAGGGCACAAGTAGCCATTTGGGGCTCAAAAGTGCTCTGAGACGCCTGCCAGGTGCAAGGACACAGTCTTGCGCTTGGGGTCCAACAGTAAGTTAATTAACACCGGCACAGAGCAGACTTCTCTGAAGCCCACCTGCAGGACGTAAATTGGATTCGCCACGACCTGGTAGGGGTCCGCGGTGAACCCGTGGCTCCCGTGCACTGCAGAGTCAGCCACTGTGTTGCACCCGCTGTCGGAGTACGCCGGGCTGCGCGGTGAGCCGTGCTCACCTACAGCCATCTTGTATGGGCTATGCGCGTCTTGGGCCTTCAGCAGGGGTGCGTCCTGCGGTGGCGCACGCAACAAAAGGTTAGCGAGCCAATTCGGCAGAAAATTCGGATTTCCGTGGACGCGCCGGCTGTGGGCGCGCAAGGGGGGCGGGGAGCGCAACAGTTCACCCTATATCCATGAGCGGAGGCTTTCGTCTTCGCACAAAACCGAAACGACCGCCCGAGAGCGGACAGCAAACCACGCCAACAGGAACCCCAGCTTGGGTCAAAAAGGGAGCCCGTTCCCAAGCGTCTGCGCTCCTGGCGCGGTGCCCCGTGGGGTGACCCTGCCCCGACTTCCCACCTGCACTTGCGACGCCGACAGGACCCCTGGGGCTTTGTGGAACGCCTCGCCAACGCCCTCCTGCGAAGCAGCAGACCCCGTCCATCAGCACAGTCACGCCGCGCAGCCCAAGCCCGATCCCGCCCGCGACTTTCGGGCCCGGGTGCCACGGGCCCCGCCGCTGCGACCGCCCGGGTTCAGCTGCCCCAGCCCATGCGACCCTCGACATTACCAAATCCTGCCATTGCCACCGCGCAGCTCTGCTCCGCCAGGAGAGCAGCGCCGCGATCTCTCTCAGCGTCGCGCGAGGGAGAGCGCGTCAATCAACAAACGCCATCCCGGGTCCACGTCGCATCCGCGACTGCGAAGAGGGCAGCGACTGCGCCACTGCAAACCGCGGCCACCGATGCTCCCCGTTTACCAATCAACGCCCCGCAGGCACGGCCAACGCTCGGAAAGAATCATAGCAAACACAGAAGGGCAGGGAAAGATCCCTGATTGCCCGTCAAAGGGCTGGACGCAATTTGCTGGGTGGGCGCGCGGGGCTGTTGCACAGTGGCACAGTGGTGCCTCGTACCATGCCGACGAGGCGATGGGCCTCCCTGTGGCTCAGCCACTGAGCTAGGAGGTCGATCGGCGCAGGCGGGGATTGGGGCTGGGCGATGGGGTGGGGTGGGGGGGGAGGGGCCGGCGGCGCTGCCCCTTGCCGCGGGCTGGCCTCCCAGCCTCGCCGCAGGGCCCCGTGGGGTGCAGTGCTCTTTGTGGGATCAGGTTCAATTGGGCGTTGCCTGGTGAAGGGGACAGTAACAGGAATAAAGCATCAGCAATCACCCTTCGGAATGCACACAAAAATCAGCACATCCGCCACGTTGCACTGACCAAGGCAGACAGGTTCGAGGGGTGGCGATCCCTGAACCAGAATCGTACGCTCGAGTCCACGGCAACGGTTTACAGCCGAGGCAAAAGGACAACAGGTGTTCTGTCCTTTGCATTCAGTCCGTCCATCAACGTCCTTAATGCAATTTCTGGTGCTTCATAATCTTTTCATGCATTCAGTTGTTAATAATACTCAATCAGTTCTGGTTACAACAGCACCAAAGACCAGACGCTCGCTCAAGCGCACGGAACCCCTGCCAACCAACCCGCCGCCTCTGGCATTATCTGTTCGCGCCACAGCGGGAATTGCTGCGCTTGTCGACCGACAAGCATTCGACATTGCCCAGGCGCGAAGCCAATGCAATGGCATCAGAAACAATGCTATGAATGCACACACAGGGCAGGCAAGCGATCCAGCAGTCTGCCGACAGCGGTGCGGTACGAAAACGGTGCGGTGTCCCAGCGCAAGGGAACAGAAGCACGATCCCTGTCGCGCAGACCAGGCTTGGTTTTTACGTTTACGTTTACGTTTTTACTTTTACGTTTTTACGCGTAAAAACGTAAATTTGCAAAAGGGCCTTTTTTTACGGCTATTTTTACGTTTTTGCGGCTCCCTGGCACACGTAGTTTACACGATGAAAGTTGCATATAATGATCAGTCCTCTGCCATCTCCATCACCCGGAGCACAATGTCCACCTCGCCTGTGGCAAGGGCGATAATGGCGTTTAGCAAAAACTCGTTTTCTGCCTCTTCCAAGGCGTCTGGCTGCCACTTTCCGAACTCTGTAAATCTATATGTACTGTCTTTATGTACACCAGGCAGTTTTTACGTTGTATTTACGTATTTTTACGCATTTTTACGCGTAAAAACGTAAAAACGATTTTTACGCGTAAAAACGTAAATACGATCAGTTTTTACGGCGTAAAAACCAAGCCTGACGCAGACCACAATGAAAAAGCGAGGACGACATCGCCACGAATGTCCCATTTGTTCACGCCGTCGGCGCGAATCCTTGTTTCAATTGCACTTGTCACAAGACAAAGCAAAAGCCATTGCGCCAAAGTGGCGATGTCGGGCAATGGCTCCTGCGTTCACCGTGAGCAACATGTTGACAGCTACTGCTTCGCACCATTGGGCCGATCCGCGCGTACTTCTCCCCAGCAACCCAGCCGCGGTGACACCCCCTGAGTTGGCAGCCTCCAGCTCAAACTGGTGGCCTCCAGGCAATGCGTGCAACGACGCCAAGGCCCATCCCCCCCCACTCGCGCGCCTGCCGGACCCGGTGGATCAAATGACGGTCGGTGCGGCCAGGCGCGGCAGGCTGGCAACCTTGCTGGCGTCCGCCCTCATCTTCTCGGTTGCCCAATGCGCCGTCCCCGCCGTGGAGGACCGCTTCCTGAAAGGCGCGCGCACGACCGGGCGTCGCCGATCGAGGCTTTGCATCGCTTTGCGCTCTCTTGCTGGGTGGCACAGTGCCCGCGCGTCTTGCGATAGGACGGGGGAGGCACCTGGACCCCGAAACGTGACCCAACGTCTAACAATTTCTGGCTCGCGATCGTGGAGCTGGGCGCGACGACTGCGCAGATGTCAAGTGCATGTTTCCGGCAAGTGAACCCGATGGGGACGACTGCGAGTGTCCGTGCGCTGGAAATGCTATTCGGCGCCGGTGCTGCCGGGGTGCGATCGCATGACTCAGTGGGGAGGTGGCGAACGATGGGCACTGCAATGTCGATTCTGCACTCGATATCGATTCGCGCATGTCGTGCCAATGGCTTCGCAGCCCTCAGGAAGCCATGTGGGACGCCCGCGCGCGGGTATGCTGTATTTGACGGCATTTGGTGGTCATCGAGAGGGGGTGGTCGGAATATTGGTCCCGGCCCCCGCGATAAGCGCCACGGGTGGAGCCTCGTTGCCGATGCCCCTGCCATGAAGCGACGGCCGACGGCAATGTCGCATCGATGCGCGAATCCGCTGCGGCTGATCGACGCGTGTGTTGGCGGGCTGGTGCAGATGTCCAAGCGGGTGTGATGCGCATGGGGCATGAGAGAAGATTGAGCGCCTTCGGAGCAGGCCAATGTGAGCCGACATCACGCCTTTCGCGTTGCCTCCGCTCATTTTCCTCGCGATGGCAGATTGCAATTTACGTGTGACGTTGAATGTCAAGGACAGCAAATGATCCTGCCTAATCGCCCCCGGACAGAAGCAAACGTTATACATTGTGGTACTGCACGGCGAGCACGCGTGCGGATGCGGCACGGGTTTGCCTGGAACTCCGCAGCCACAAAAGCCTGGCACCTCTCCGCTGTTCATTGCAATGGTTACAGATCTGGCCTCGCATCAGTGCTCTCATGGACCTGCACGATGCATCTCGCCTCCACTCCTGGGTTTGGGTTTTCGGAATTCCCAACGCCCGATGATGCCTCTATGCGTGTGGAAACACGGAATCCATGTGCATAGAGCCATGCGCATGCCAAGGTTGATGTGGCTCCAAGTCGAGATACACAGCAACGGGAAGCTCTGAATAATGTTTCCGTTCCTGCAGTTCACAGGGCAATTCCCTGCTGCGAAATTCCCCGAATATGTCCACAACTTTGACGCTTATCTTCCAAATGGGTCCAATACTACGCACCCAAACACATATGTGGCTGGGCTCGGAACCAGGTGGCTACGGCGCTCTGGTGGTGGTGTACGGAAGTTTGCAGCCGGACATACAGTCGGTGAGGAGCCACGCCCCGCCCCTCGCTAAATTTGCCACGGACAGCGTCGAGTTCATCCACATCTCGAATGCTTCTTGTTTGCTGGATGCTGCCTCCATACCACAAGACATGCTCATATTCGACGACGGGACGCTCGGAAACCTGGATTTCATGAGCGGCATTTCGTCCATCGGGGGCCATCTCGTCATCTGGGGGGACGAAAGCGGCCATGGTCGGCATGTCCCCAACTTCGGTGGACTGCAGAGCCTTCAGGTAAGCCTGGGGACCAGGCGCAGAATTCACACATGCATTGTGGAAAATTTTGACAGTTTTTACATTCTCCAAGACGCAACTGACGTATTCACTTGCCGTCACCAGTTTTTTGTCTACATGCTTCTCTTGATGCGAAGAAAACGGAACGAACTCCCATTGGATATTTCCACCCTTTCGGCGGTGTGCAGCGCTTTAAATCCATTTGCCCGTGACCGGCGTTTGGTAAGCTTACCTTAAGGTCACGATCCTCCAAGACAACGGATGGTGCCTGTGTATTTGCAAATCGCGACTTGTACACGATCGTGGAAAATATGCATTTCTACAGTTTCGGGCGAGTTTACAAGAATCTAGGAGCAAACCAAGGCATAGGATGGATACTGGCTCTCGCCCTCGCTACTGCAGCCGCGATCAGCAGCATTCACAGGATCTTGCTGCGCCATGGTCGTTCCTTACATCTAGGATCGAAATTGGAAGGAACACATTTCCTGCAGTAAAACGTTGCGGAACCACTGCCTATCATTGGCAGGATCCTGATTTTCCTACTGTAGACGTGGCTGCATTTCTGAATTAACATTATTTGGATTCCAGTTGCGTGAGTGCTTCTTGCCATCCGGAATGACACTCCCCGCTATTACGAGAGATTTGCAAGTCCGTGTGCCACACTCCATGGCAATAGTCTATGGCGGATTTTGAAGAGTTGCATCGTGCAGTCAACACACCCGCTGCGGCAACTGGCAGTGTCTGACCGTTCCCGTTGAGGCACGCTCTGGGCATCGAACGCAGCCGCAGTGGAAGTTGATTTCCGATGTTTGACATGCCACTGCTGCTTGGTGCTGCAGTTCATTTGGGGATCCTTGAACATCGTCAACATCGACAGCATTACCAACTTCGAGGGTCTCGGCAGCCTGACAACGATCGGTGGTGACTTGCTGATATGGAAAAATGGATTTCTAGAGAATCTGCAGGGCATTGGCCCAATCGCAGAGATTTCGAAGACCCTCTACATTGATGACAATTGGTCGTTGAAGGATTTATCCGGCCTGGAGGTCTGTGCATGTTGCATTGCACACTGCATCCCAGCATAGTACTTCATTATTGCGGTTTAGTCAAATACCTCCACCACGCTAAATTGATAGTTGTATACAAGCTTGTGATATGCATGAGCGTTCTCTTACAAGGGACCAGTAAAGTATAACTTATCAGGGATGGGAGAGGCTGGCCATGTCTTAGTCCAAACATTTAGGTTATTGCAGTTTCACCACTCCTCAGAGCTATTTCTTAAATGCAACTTATTCGATCTCAGGTATGGTTATGACTGTGTGGAATTTCTCATATTCCTAAAAGGTGTTCAAATAAGATTCCTGGAGGATAACAAAGGGTGACAACTTTCAGGTCCAGCAACTTGCTGCCGCAGCCCCGGCTCAAGCGTAATCTATTCGACTACACTCAATTGGAAATGCGCCTGTTTGGTTTCTTGAATTTTTTTCAACTGGGTATATTTCATAACACTGCCGTGTGGCGTCTGTGTCACAGAATGTTCGAACAATCGGATTTGACCTGCACCTCAAAGGAAATGGCCAGCTGGAAGATTTGTCAGCCCTTTCGGACGTCACGGCCATTTGGAACAGCATCATTATACAGAACATGCAGGCCCTCGCCAGCCTGTCGTTCCTGGCGAATTTGCAAGAGCTTGGTGGGTGGCCCCAAACCGCTTCGTCATTTTGCCCTTAGCTGCTCTTAATATGGCACCATGTCTCCGTTCTTCAAGAAAGCATCATCCATTCAATTTTTCTCATGTACATGCTGTTGTTGCTGTAAAGTGTATGTTTGCGCACCATCCCTGGCTGCTCATCTCTAAATATATCGGGATTTGTGTTTACAGATGTACGGCTACAAGCAACGGGTGAAGAATTTTGCACACGTTCCTGCAAAAGAAAGAAAACTTTATCCTGCCATTCGCGACTTGAACTTTTGAACTCTGAACATCTTTAACCTCGTAAACATTTGACCTTGTTCTCAGAATCCCTGAGGATACTCAGCACGTTTTCCATTGTAGCGAGCTTTTGTTCAGCGTCCATGGGCTGTACAATGCTTTCGGGGTAGGAAAAGACAATAGTAATATGTCCATCGTTGCGTTCTGCCCGAGTAATCAGCAATTGATACTTTACGTTCATGTGCATAAGATTGTCCCGTTTCGGATACTTGTGCCACAAATTGGACAGGGTACGTGCGCACTTCGCCTTTTGTTGCGCCATGCGTCATGATCGCTGAAGAGCTGGGTATTTAGCCCGAATGTGGCGCAAAACTTCGGA